GGGGGTACGGGACACGGACGGATGGATGGGACGGGACAACCACAATCAAACCAAAACAACCCAAACCCACGCTTTTCTATTCTAAATGTCCCCAAGGACACTGATACCGACAAATGGCTGGAGAACATTGGAAATGTCATGCAAGTGCAATCGATGAAAGACATATATTAAGAATCTGTATATGAGATGAGACAACAATTTTCTATAAATAAATCAAGCATTAACATTTAGTAAGGGTGAAATGGCTCTAAAATTATTATGTGAACACAGAATCTCCTATTGCTTTTTTCTATTCTTTTGGGGTTTTTTTTCTTTAGTTGTTTCACAAGTTACTAATATGCTTCCATATGAATATACAGAGATTTTAAATGGACTAAAAGCTGCTATAAAACGAAGAAAAAATAGGGTGAAACTCCAGTGTATAACTAATTCAGCTATTTCACAGTTCATCTCAAACCTGTGTGCGAGAGTACCAAAAGGTGAATTTAAACAAAGCAACAAAATAAATTGAATAAATAAAAGTTTAACAAAAAAATAATAATAAAAACCTGTGGTATGGTGGATGGGATGACAGTGGTCTCGGCAGGGACTGGTGGGACAGGGATCACAGGGACAATGGGAGAAGAGGAAGGAACAGCTTCTGCGGGCTAAAAATCACCAACAAAATGTCAAAAATAATAAAAACTAGAAAAACATTTTAAAACAAATGAGATTCAAATTTAACAGCTTAAAAACAAATTTCTGAAATAGCATATGGATTTGGAGACTATAACAGAACTGAAGACAACCACCCACCTTTAACCATGCTGCCTACAGCAGTGCACCCCCAGCAATATGCTCACGTCAAAGAACCCAAAGCAGTGACCTATACCCAGGCTGCTCGTTCATCCCAAGTTACTCACCTTGTAGCACAGAGTAATGAGACTTTGGGGGCCAACAGAAAATCTGGTCATGTCAGTGGACAGACTCAGGCTTTCTGTGGACTGCTTTCACAGCAGAAGCCCTTCAACATTATATAACAGTGTGTAAAAGCAGGGAAACAGTGGCTAAAGTTGATAGCACTGAACAAAGTTAATATTCCTCTTCGATAAATGGGAAAAATCAGAAGTATGTTACGGTTTCTAAATTGGGCAAAAATCAAAGAAAATCTTTTAGTCAAATGGGTGGAAGATCCTAAACCAGATTCAATCTACCTCTGAAACATCTTCATACAGGTCTACCATACACCTTCAGACTAGTAGAATTTTGGTCTTAGGAATTTTCGTTAAAATAATAACCAGGAAAGCTACTGACACTTAAGCTGCAAGGGAACAAGATTACAAATAACATTCTGAGCAAAACATTGACTCAAATAATTTTGAGATGTTAACACACTGGTTGTTAACAACCTGTCAGCAACATAAACTACTGGCAGCTATCATGAAAATTACAAGCTGAACAGCAGATCAACACTCTTGCAACTTAGTTGTTCCAAGACATTCTTGTGATCTTTAAACAGAATGGCACAAAATGACAAAAGAAAATATTAAATCCAGAAAATTAATGAAAAACCCAGAACATAACAGTATTAAACATATTTTAAAAGTTTGAGATATTTGAGAACACAAAGCAACATACACCAATAGCATACACCAAATTAAAAGAGTAAAAGCAAATATTAAAGAAACCTGAGACTGCTCAAGAGCAGTAACCCTTATTAAATGTACATATGGTATTTCTACAGGGTTTTTTCAGCTCAAAGTCAATCTACCCAAAATGAACAGCTGGTGAAAAATGCTGCAGTTATTGAAAGATGCAAGAACAAGATATATTTGAATCTTGAGAGATTATTACTAATGTCATTTAAATATTCTTACATCTACAGACAACCGAACAAGTGTTAAAAAAAGGAGGGTGGAGGAGTATCTAAATTGGTCTAGAAAAATGATTAGATGCATTTTGCAGAGGATGCAAGAAATGCTCAGTGCAACAAACCTCCAGTTAACTGGAAGAACGAGGCAACCTTTAGAGGACAGATCAAATTAAATAGCTTGAGCAATCACTCAGACCTACACATACAAAAAATAAGCTAACCCTTCAAGTCTGCCTTGTTCCAAAGTAGCAGCTTCCCATATATGCACACAGTAAAAATCCCGTCAACCAAAATTTCAGATATACACACATTAGATACCAAAATACAACACAACATGAAGGTTGAAAAGCTAAGCATTAGCAGGTCAGAAAAATTCCAGCTTCACAGTTACAAGTCCTGCAATAAGAGGTTAAAAATCAAACTGAAGTTATTCTTAGATACTGACCATACATTCCCCAGCAAAACAACTAACCAAGCCACAGTTGATTTCCTTATGGGCCAAACAATCCGCATCCCTCTCTTTGCACCAAATGACAGTTTTATTTTCCTGCTTGCTTCCTTTTCTCAGTTCCTAACTCTCACATCTCTTTGGGCTTCTCATTCCCAAACTCTTCAAGAACCCTCCCAACCAGCTCCAATTTTTACTCTTATTATTTTAAAAATAGCATTGTTCAAAGTCCTTTAATTCTTTCAGGTTCCATTCTCGTAAGCTATTAGTACTGTCAGCATATTTTCCCTTTGTGCTGTCGGGTTAGTATCCACCGACTCTTAAAAGCTGCTCCCTGCTCCTCCAAGCATCCTGGCAATGTTCCCGTTGAGTCTCCTCCACTGCCATGTGGGTGAGGAAAGACGTGACAACACTGGCAACCACTTTCAAAGGACGTGCAAATCCAAATCAAGGTAAGACTGTCTTCACTTGAATGTTTCATGGAATACAGTGAACTGACACAAGCACTATGGCTACCACAAGGAAGGATAATGCAAGAAGTTAAAAGATTTTTAATCATCAGAGAAAGAAGACCTGGAACTTGCTTATAACAGAAAAATGCTAATATTATGGTACATAATCAGTCTGAAAATTATTACATGATACAAGTGTCTGCGCAAGCAGCTGACTAAGCTCCAATAGCCCAGAGTATCGCTTTCAATGGTCCACTTCCCAGGAATTTTCAAGAAATTTGTAATTTTTTTATGAATTCTCCAAGAATACACTAAAGTCTTCTGAAAAGCAAAAGCTTATCCTCAAAAAACACTTTAAATAAAGATATCTGACTACAGCATTTAGTGATCCTTGTTTAAATGGACATAAACTAATCTAAATTACAAAGAAAACAGTGGGCCAAATAAAAACCTTGAATGCATGACTTGAACAATAACTCACTTAAGAGTCTGTCAGCCTAAATAAATGTGCTACCACCTACAACAAAAAGCCATTCTGTTACAACAGTATGATAAATCTCAAGTAAATTAATCATTTAAGTGGTATGTTTAAAAAAAGCTAAGATAATAATGCCTCTAGGTGATCAATTAAATTAGTGCCTCCAAATCTAACACAAAGTCCAGATATCGTGGAAAGGAAGAACACACTCATTTTCTCATGTTTAACCAACACACAATAACTCCTCCTGTGAGGGAATACCAACTAGCCTGAAATTAAATCACAGTACCATACACGTCCTGAAGCAGATCAAATAAACCAGCAAATTCTGTAATAAATCCAGCTGCTCTTTGTAAAGTACCAAGACACATTTTGGAGAACAAAAATCAAGCAAACCAGACTTTCCTCACATTCAGGAAGTTACTGTAAAACCCCAACACTGTATACGGTCTAACAATCTTAATGGGAAAACACTGAACAAAAATATTTCTTTTCCAGCCCAATTTCAATTATTGCTACGTGGATTTCTAGCGATAAAATACGAAAGAAGATTAAGTAACACAGTCTTTACAAATAGCAGGGATAAAACTACAGAAAGAAAAAAGTGTGACATACTTCTATGGTTTGTATCAAAAATGCACATCTATAAACACCTAGCGCAATACATACCTTTTCTAAAGAACAATTAGAACATGAGCCATCAGACACCCAACCACTAGCAGCTTTTACTTTCGCTGTGCTTTTTGTAGGACTCTTTTTTACACTATCACGGAGGTTTATAAATTTTCCTCTGTGTTTTGAAGACACCGGCAGCGTGGATGAACTGAAAGATGGGTGAATGCTCAGCGCCCGCTGCTCAGGCCGAAAAGGCTGCTTTGGCTGCGTATGAAGATTTTGACGCATTTCCATCCTTGGACTCCTTGTTAAATCAGTGAGCTTGAGCGTTCCCATTTCATCATCGTCTGCAGCACCACAGTATTTGTAGCCATGACAGTGAGTAGTCATGAAAGTAGCAACACAAATAGTCCTTTTTGCAAAAAAATGGAGGGAAAAGAAACCAAAATATTGCTTTCTGAGGAAGTTAAAAATGTGACTGTTTTCTAGATTATGGTCATAGGAAGAAACAGTAAATGGTGTTTTAGCTAGTACTGCATGTTGTGTCCTCTCTCACGCTATTTAGAGAGCACCATTGAACCACCACACGACAGTCAATTTGCTGGGCATAAATAATCAATGCAATGCACAAATTATTGAATAGACGACAAAAGTCATCTGACTATTTATTCAAGAGAAGCCACAAAAGGTTATATTTTTTTTCTCCCATAAGCTCCTACCATCCCTAAACTTGGTTGTATTTTACCACCTCAAAACTTCACCAAGGTCTACATCTAGAAAATTTTAAAAATACACCAATTCCTCTACTTTTCTGAACACTTTCTGGGGGCCGAAAAATAATTAATTTCAAGAAGCTTATGATGAAAATATACTAATTGTGAATGGGCAGGTGCCTTGTATAAGATTTCAACCTTAAACTTCCATCAAATAAAACAAACTTTTTCAGACCATAACAATAATAAAATTATTAACACAAAGTAATACTTAAGTGTTGCATTTCTATGAAATGCAGCAGCACTGTGAAACCACAATTTTAACGTGCACATTGTTTAAATTAGAAGATTTTTTTTAAAAAAAAGACATTTAAACAAACAGCAGTTCTTTATTATTTTTTCATTCAGTTTTTAATGCCAAGGATGCATGATCTCTATATTAGAATTTTATTCCATTTTTCAAAACAAAAAAGTTCCAAAACAACTCCTACACCTACCCTCAAAAAAAAAATGCACACAATGAGGAGCTAGCTTGATTTAATCATGCTGTTGAATACTCAAGTTTAGCAGCCAATTTTAAATTAATCATTCTAAAAAGCGGTAAGGATCCAAAGCTAATTTCCCAGAGTCTACACGAAAATTGACAGATAAGTGGAGACACTGATATTCCTAGCCTTACAGAAGGAAGAAGCAGGCTCAAGTCAGTGGTCATGCCGTCTTCTCGACAGCAAACACACAAGCAGCATTTGCACATCTCTGGGCTGACCACAGCACCCAGCACCTGCCTATCGCCCCACGGCTCTCTCCTAGGAATACGCTGTAAATCTGAGTATCCGGTGCTGGGTATGATAAGAATTAAGGACACCAGCCCATAGGAAAAAAAGCTTGATCAGGTCTGCTGTACTGTATTTGGATAAAATAGAGAAATTTCTTCAGTTGATAGCATTAAAAAATGGTTATTATTCCTCTCAATGTACACCTCCCTACAGCAAATCTGAATATTTAAATAATACGAGTCAGCATAATTTTTACACATAGAATAAAAAACTAGAAATACAGGCTTAAGTACAAACATTTCCAGTTACTTAT